GCGGGCTGCGGAGCCGCGCCGTGCCACTGGCTCTCTCGGCGGAGGAGCTGTTGGAAAAGTGCCCCGGCTCCTCACTGCATCTCCCCTGGCCTCGCATGCCAGGAACATTTTAGGCGCTCACGGAGGAGGCGAGCGCTCCGCGCCGGGAGCTGGCCGGTCCCCCTCGCTCGGCTGCCCCGCTGCCCCCCGGCACAGCCACGCAGGCACCACGGGCTGGGCCGGCCACCAGCCGCCGTCCTGACCCACTGCCCCCCGGGACAGCCCCACACCACCACGGCCCGGGCCGGCGACCAGCCGCCGTCCTGACCCACAGTCCCCCGGGACAGCCCCACACTACCACGGCCCAGGCCGGCCACCAGCCGCCGTCCTGACCCACTGCCCCCCGGGACAACCCGGCAAGCACCACGGGCTGGGCCCGCCACCATCCTGCCCCGGGACCCGGCCAGAGCGACCCACCTGGCCCTGCCTGCAGGCCCCGGGAAGTTGTCGGGGGCCCTGGCAAGACCAGAGCCCCACGGTTTCCTCTGGTCTGTGAGGAGCTGAGAGGTCCCTTCCACGGAAGCCCTTCTCCAGGCCCCAGACCCTCAAGTGGGACCCACTGGGCCAGGGCGTGAGGTTGAGGCAGGATGGTTTTGGCCCAGTCGGAGCCAAGGTGTGAAGGCTGATGAGGAAAAATGTGGGGATTTCCAGCTGGAAATAGCACAACTCTGGGCATACAACTGCAGCCGAGGAGGGAATTACAGAATCATAGGATTGTCTGGGTTGGAAGGGACCTTTCAGATCGAGTCCAACCATCAACACCGACAAAAACCATCACCAAACCATGTCCCTCACCACCACGTCTACCTGTCTTTTAAACACTTCCAGGAATGGCAATTCCACCACTTCTCTGGGCAGCCTGTTCCAATGTTTGACAACCCTTTTGGTGTAGAAATTTTTCCTAGTATCCAGTCTAACCCCCTCCTGGTGCAACTTGAGGCCATTTCCCCTTGCCCAGTCCTCTTGGATTGCTGCAGACCAGACTCTTTCAGTCACTCTGGAGCAACTGGCATTGTCCCTTGTAGGAGTTTGGGATCTCTGGCATGCCCAGCTCCAGAGAGCACCTCAGGTTTGTTTCTCCAGAAACAGCCATGCAGTGTAGATCTTCCAGCAAACACTGGAGGGGTTGAAGTCCCCCACAAGAACCACAGCCAGTGAACATGAGGCTGCTTCGAGTTGTCTGTAGAAGGCCTCGTCCACCTGTTCTTCCTGCTGAGGTGGCCTACAGCAGACACCTACTGCAATGTCCCACTCCACTGACTGAAAAGGAAGCCTGCTTCAGAAGGTGAGAAACTTGCATCATACATACCCATATGAGACACACAATGCAATAGAATCACAGATCTAGGTTGGAAGGGACCTTTAAGATCGAGTCCCATATAGAATCACAGAATCTTCATGGTAGGAAGGGACCTTTGAGATCATTGAGTCCAACCACAAAAAAAACAACAAAAAAAAAAAAAAAAACAAAACAAAACCAAAACCCCCACCACACACACAACCCACAAGCCAGCCCAAACCGACATACACACACCCACCACACACACCCATGGAGAGACAAAACCCAACAATCTCAGGCATTAGAGCCCCTGAAGTGCCATGGTCTAACCCCCTCCTGGTGCAACTTGAGGCCATTTCCCCTTGCCCAGTCCTCTTGGATTGCTGCAGACCAGACTCTTTCAGTCACTCTGGAGCAACTGGCATTGTCCCTTGTAGGAGTTTGGGATCTCTGGCATGCCCAGCTCCAGAGAGCACCTCAGGTTTGTTTCTCCAGAAACAGCCATGCAGTGTAGATCTTCCAGCAAACACTGGAGGGGTTGAAGTCCCCCACAAGAACCACAGCCAGTGAACATGAGGCTGCTTCGAGTTGTCTGTAGAAGGCCTCGTCCACCTGTTCTTCCTGCTGAGGTGGCCTACAGCAGACACCTACTGCAATGTCCCACTCCACTGACTGAAAAGGAAGCCTGCTTCAGAAGGTGAGAAACTTGCATCATACATACCCATATGAGACACACAATGCAATAGAATCACAGATCTAGGTTGGAAGGGACCTTTAAGATCGAGTCCCATATAGAATCACAGAATCTTCATGGTAGGAAGGGACCTTTGAGATCATTGAGTCCAACCACAAAAAAAACAACCAAACAAAAAAAAAAAACAAAACAAAACCAAAAACCCCACCACACACACAACCCACAAGCCAGCCCAAACCGACATACACACACCCACCACACACACCCATGGAGAGACAAAACCCAACAATCTCAGGCATTAGAGCCCCTGAAGTGCCATGTCTACGCATTTTTTAAATACCTCCAGGGATGGCAACTCCACCACCTCCCTGGACAGGCTGTTCCAGTGCCTGACCACCCTCTCAGTAAAGTAATTCTTCCTAATATCTAATTTAGACCTCCACTGCTGCAACCTTAGACCATTTCTTCTGGTCCTGTCATTATTCCTTTGGGAGAAGAGCCAACACCCACCTCTCTACAACCTCCTTTCAGGTAGTTGGAGAGGGCAATGAGGTCTCCCCTCAGCCTCCTCTTCTCCAAACTAAACATGCCCAATATCAATATATTCAGGGTCTCTGGCACAACCCAAAAAAATAAGCATCTGTAGTATTCTGGGTCATAAAAGAAGTGGTCCACTGAAATGGTTTTTATTAAAAACAGCCTTTAGAATTCATCACTTGAATCAGCTATTTGGTGCGTGATGATTAAGCCCTGCATGTCTATTGAGGCGTTTAGGGTAAGAATAGTCAAATATTAAGATATTGATCCGGAATAAGGGAAAACATGTTCATAAATCATACAAGGACTGTGAAACTTCAGCATGGTACCACAGAAATACAAGACAGCAGCTTGTATTTCTAATGTCCAGGCCAGTCCAGACCATACTAGAATTGAAAAAGAATGATCCAGCATTTGTAACATGACGGAGTGACTTGATTTCATGGTTTCTGAAAAGTGACTGAGTTCAGCAAAAGTGTGATTTCTAGTGGTTTTGATACCTCATGTGTTACCATTCAGTATCACTCATGAGTGGTATCTTAACCTGTAAAAGTATGGAATTTGAATCAGGTTTCAACTCTGAGGAAGGACTTTGTTTCAAATTGAATTCAAAAGTCTCCTTTGCAGCCGTATCCTCCAGCGGCAGACAGGGGCAAGGCAGCTGCCCATTTAGCTCAGTCCAGTCTACCCCCCTGGTCTCTACCCTGCACCTGGCCTCATCTTACTTCAGCACCTTCGAGTGATGTGTGTGGTAACATGACTAACATTTATCATGTCTTCATATTACTCTTCCTGTTATAAACCAGTATCTTTTCTCAGCACTTTCTGAATCACATGAGGATGTCACGCTTGACTTTTATGCAACTTCATATGCATTGACATTTCTGGGAGAAATCTGGCTTGAAAAATCAGAGCAGAAGGAGAAGAAACAACAGGACAGACATTAAATTGCCAGTGAGTTTAAGGCTTTGAGTCTCATCTAGACCATATTCTAATTAGTTTAATTGTATGATCTGATTCACAGATTGATTCAAATAATAAGAAGAATCACAGAAGGGCAGCAAATAAGATTCCATTACACGGGAATTGAGAGAGTGCTATGCCAGCTCTTGTGGCATAGTCTATTCCAGAGACACCCAAATCATAAAAAATTTAAAAATTATTTTATATTTTTCAGTAAAACATAGATTTTACTGTGACTTTGAGAACTTACTAAGATTATTATTAAGGTATCGGTATCACTATCATTAACTTTGATTTATACTTTTCTGAGAATTTGAGTGTGTTTAAAAAAAATCTATATAATGAAATATTAGAAAAAGTCTATAGTAATGAAAAGCCTGTCCTGGATTTGATGCAATATATTATAATATTTCAATCAATAAATTCAGAATAGCAGCCATATGCACCTTTATGTGAATCTATAGGCAATTCCATGGTTCATGGGTGTTTTCTAAGAGAAAACAGACAAGGGAATGAGATGTTTTCTTTTTCTGGTGAAAATTCCCAGTGACAGAACACAGAACATCCTTGCCTGGGATGGGACATTATTGTGACAAGCATCATCAGTGATACCCCAGTAACGTGCTTGTCACAGTAATGATACAATTGCCCTAAACTGGCATATTCTGAATGCACATCCCCATCCTGCTGCAGCAGTGTGTACATTAACGAGATCCCGTCTCTATCTGAAATAATGACATGAAAAACATTTAAAAATCATCACACCGATCTTCAGTTGAACAGCTCATACTGTTGTATGGAACAAGCATTCAGCTGGCATCACCAGTGGGTATACATCTTCAGACAGATTTATAAATCTTTTAGATTACTCCCCAAAGATGTCCTTCTCCCTCACATTGTGTTTGCAGACAACCTGTCACCCAGACTGCTCATTCTGTTCCTGTTCCCATTCCCTCTTCCCTGCATTTGTAAGCATTATAGCACCGCTTTGCAGCTTCCATGGCATAGCATCTTCTACAGCAGGAGATTTCTATTTCCTGTTTCTGTTTCTTCCATGGCACTGCACATTTTACAGCATATTCTATAGTTGTTAGGCAATTTAGCTGTGTAAAACCGAACTCTTAAAAAAGTGGAGAATCCTTAACAGCCTTCATGTGAAATATGTGAATAAGAATGCTTTGGTATCACGGAGTTAGGCTTTTTAGAAACAAATAAAGAAAATACTACCCAGGTAATCATTTATATTTGGCTATTTATGGTGCCAAGATACTCACCACCAAGGTAACCGATGAGCGTGTCCACACCCTATGCTCTAAGAGCCTATTCTCAAAGGATTTTTTCCCCCATCCACTTCCAAAGCAGTAATTCACATAGAAGACTCCAGAGAGAATCAAGATGACAAATGTCTGTTTCAGGGGATAGAACTGGTGCAATTACTTTCCACCATTATCCAGGGAAACTGCATTTCTGCATGTTTTATAAAATGACAGTGACTCATAGGGTCATTACCAGAGAGCCTACTGTACAAAGAGAAGCTGTTCATACCTGTAAAAAGATAGGTAATTTTGTGTCTAACCAAACTCAGCACATGCTGCAGAAGACTTACAGAATACCTCGGGTCTGAGAGGTCAATTGTTTGATATTGTGACCAATATATTGCTCATGATAATACAAGCTAAAATAGCTCACGAGTCAGTTCCTCAAGAGGGTTAGCATTTCCCTATGTTTAATACTGCTGTCCTTCTAAGATAAAAAAATAACTGAAACTAATATAATAGCATTCCTATTGCATTTGCCAAAATGTTATCCAGGAATTTTAAATGATCTACTAATTCCAGAAACAATTCCAAAACACAAAATCAGGGCTTAAATGGTGCTGAAAACCTGCAGCATTGCTTCTGGAGATGGAATAC